CGGCCAGCGAGCGCAGCCGAAGAACGGCCGACGCCAGATTGGCTCGCCTCTTCAGCCCCTCCTTCAGATGCTCAGCGCTTCCCTTTTCCTTCTGTCCAAGTTCAATGCCACACGACACGCACGGAGTCGCGTGTTAGCCAAAGAATGAAATGAACGCTGCATAGTTGGCATTCCACGTACCTTGGAAAGAATGTAGGACCGAGCGAGCTGAACGGCGAGGGGGCTCTCCATTCCGGACCTGCTGGTCGCGCTGCCGAGGGTGGTGCCCGGCTGCAGAAGCACACCGAGGCGGTCCAGGAGGGCGGCGACGTGGGCCAGGTGGCCCAGGCCCTTGCTGGCCCGGTGCAGGGCCTGCAGGCCGTTGGTGGCCTGAATGAGAAGGCGCGCGCGGACGTCGGCATCGGCCCGCGCGAGGAATGCCACGTCGCTCGTCACCAGGTGCTTCTCCTCGCTCGCCAGCCCTTCCAGCAGCGCATCTGCGTGCGATGAAATGCGTGGAATGTCGTGAGTTATTGTGGTTACATTCCTCAAATGTTCTTGGTGGTTGGACCGTTTACCGAGTGAGTGGTCGCCCTGGCGCAGCGCCACAAGCACGTCCTGGAGGGCCTGGCTGAGGCGCGCCTCGGCGGTGATGTGCGGGTTGAGGCTCCTGTAGCGCTCGCTCACCGCTTTCCAACTCTGCAAATCTACGCCACTTGCCGTTATTCTACGAGCACACACACACACACACACACACACACACACACACACACACACACACACACACACAAGTGGTAATGTACCATTTACACGCAGGCAATTGGCGGCGAGACCGTCGGGCGAGGCCGACATGCGGGCCATCACGGAGGGCAGCGCCCCGTGGGCGGGCACGAGGGCGCGTCCGCGGGGCGACCGCGCGAAGGCGCGGATGAGGTCGAGCCGCCACTGGGCCTCCTCGACCAGCTCCACCAGCCCCAGCTTGCGGCGCGAGTCGGGCAGGCCGGCGAGCGACGACGCGATCAGCGCCAGCACCGGGGCCACCACCTTCTCCTGAGCGATGAACGAGGCCGCGGCCGAGCCGTCGCCAGCGGCGCTGGTGGTGGGCCGACTGACGTGTTGGGAGGTGGTGGTGAAGAGCGCGGCGTAGAGGCCCTCCAGCACAGCGAGGCGGGCGACGGGCTGCGGAATGCCGCCAATGCACTCCTTGATGTCCTCCATCGCGTCTTCGATCGCATCTTCTTCGCTCTCTTCGTCGTCTTCGTTCTTTTCGTCTTCGTCTTCGTTCTTCTTCGCTTCTTTGTTGGTTGGTGCCGTCTGTGCGGTCTCGTCTATGAGCAGAAGCAGACGACGCAGGGCGTGGTAGGCCAGCAGCAGGTTCTCGTCCTTGGTCTTCTCTCTTTGGCTGTCAAGTGAAACATCAACATGTGAGCCAATGCATGTGTTGTGTCTGTCGTGTGTCGTGCGTGTCGTGTGTGTCGTGCGGTGTGGAACCTGATGAGCGAGGTGTCGGGGTTGGATTGAAGGATGTCGCGCAGCTCGTGCAGGTCCAAGTCGGCCAATCGCGCGCGCAGGAGATGGAGCAATGAATGCCCCGACAAAAGCGACAACAGCGCGTTGGCCAGCTGGAACGGCGACGTGTACATGCTCAAGTCGTTCGTTCCCACCCTGGTGGCAAACACAAATGGGGAATTGAATGCAAACAATAAGTCAGTCAAGTCAAGTCAAGTCAAACTTGCGGTCGTCAGCCCATAGCAAAGTGGTGAGGGGGGGTTACCGAATGGAGGAGTGGAGGGTCTTGGGGGCGGCGAGCAGCTGGGCCGCGGACCACCAGGCAATCTTGAGCCGATGCCGCAGCACTCCGTAGGCGCTCCAGGCCGGGTCGTGCTTGGCCCAATCGACGCTCTCCTTGGCCTTGTCGTCGCCGCCCCACAGAGCGTCCACGATCTTCTGTCGCCACCCGATATCCCTACGTATCACCCTGACATGAGCCTCACGCACACGCACCACTGCACACGCACACACACCACCACACACGCACACGCACACGCATGCGCACACGCACACGCACCACCGCACACACACCACCGCACACGCATAATGACACGACACGGTCACTGGGAATGGCTTGTACCCTTCAAACGAGTCCCAGGCAAGAAGCAGGACCCAGGCGCGCAAACGATCGAAGGCGGTCAGCACTAGGCCCGCCTCCTCGGTCCGCTTCTCTTTCACCAGGCCCAGTGCCTGTACATCAATGCCACATGCGGTCGTCAGTGTGTGTGTGTGTGTGGCGTGTTCGTGGTGTGCGTGGTGTGCGTGGCGTGTGCGTGGCGTGTGCGTGGTGTGTGTGTGTGTGTGTGTGTGTGTGTGTGTGTGTGTGTGTGTGTGTGTGTGTGTGTGTGTGTGTGTGGCGTACGAGTTCAAGGATGTGGCTCAGGACGTGCTTGCGGCCAGCCACGACGGTCTCGTAGAGGTCACCCCATATCTGCTCCTCCAACTCTTGCACGCGATCCTCGTCGCCTTCGTCGCCTTCACCCTCCTCCTCGCGGCCCCGCAGTCGCAGGAAGACGTTGAGCGGCTGCTGCTGCGCCTGCGCCGCGATCACGCTCGTGTGCGCGCGGGCAAAGGCCCGCAGCAGATCGTTGGCGTGCGGGTGGGCGGCCAGCAGCCCCTCGTAGACCTGATGCGTATTCGTTATCGACAAGGTAAGAAGCCTGTGTGCGGTGTGTGGTGTGTGTGTGTGTGTGTGTGTGTGTGTGTGTGCGCGCGCGCGCGCAGTGTGTGAAGTGTGGTGTGCCTTGTTGGCGGTGCGGGCGAGGTCGTCGGTCTGGGCGAGGCGGGTCAGGAGCGCGGTGATGGGACCCGTGGAATCGGAGTTGAGGTGGGCGTAGCGCGGGAGGAGCCGGAGGAGGCGCGAGGCCACCCGGTGCTGGCCCTTGGCCCACTGCTCCTCGATCAGGCCTACCAGTCCGCGCCACTCGGGCTCGCCCACCCCCAGCCCGCTCCACAGACTCGTGCCGATCTGGGTGAGGCTGGGTGCTTAGCACTGGTTGCCAATCAGAGACACACGACACGC